ACAGTCTCTCGCCAACCTACTATGTTTGTCTATATCGCCTTTCCGCTGCTCTCCTCCTGCCAGACATTGCCCAGCATTTTGGTGCCTGTCAGTTTTTCAATCAGTTGAGCTGATGAGTTTGGCATTTCCATGACATATTTGCTTGGGAGCACGGAAAATATTTGCCAAAATGTCAGAATTTAAACTTTATGCATTGCTTGCGCCATGCCGTGCCAAGGGACACGCCCCCATCCACCTTCCACCTATCCACCCATCAGCCAAGCCCCGAGCGAGCGACCGTCAGGCGCATAATTGACGCCATTTTGCAGCAGTCGTCGCAGCTAGCATCGCTGTCAACGTCGCGACGCGACGCCTCTGCCGGCAGCGCTGCCGACGTCGCTGTCTTAGTATCTCGCTGCAGCAGTCGACGCCATTTTGCAGCAGCAGATGCAGTCGACTGACAGTGGGGCATTTGTCCATCTTCACTAGCAATTACCATCATCGCTGAACGAAGATACGGAATAGAGCAGCCCACTCCGAGGAGAGCTACAAAGGCTTAGACTAATGCACAAATAGTTGTTATACATTTGAAGTAAGCTTTCCATAGCTCCATCCATGACGAATTCCCTCCCAGGCTCATGCATTTCAGCCCACTGTGCTACGTGGCTGCTATGTATCTTTCGGGTCGTCTGCGCGCACACTTTTCCGACGTCGCAACGTCGGTTTTCCGACCTTCTTTTCCCTGGTCAGCTTTGCGCTGGGTGTTGGGTGTTGGTGCTGGGGGGCTGGGGGTGTCTTGGCTTAGCCGTCGCCATTATTATGTGTGTAGAGCCCGGGACCCCGCCCAAAAGTTGTCCCACCCCTGATACCGTCTGCATTGCGCGCTGAGATTTTGCGTTTTCCGCCTAGTTAAGATTTACGTTCATCCACCAAATGGACGACCACGATGAGGCATGGGAAGCACGGCGAGGGGTTGGTGGTGGTGGATTTCAGCTTAAGCTGCAGCGCAGCTGAAATGGCGTATTCTCTAAGCTCTGCAGCGAGGGCCAGTCGAGCAGTTCCAGTGCGCACATTCAGGCTTATGCTAAGTGCTCAAGAACTAATAAAGGAAACAAATATCAAACACGCCCAGAAATGGAGCCAGATTCGCTAGCAGTCCCTCAATCCCTTACCCTGAGCGGAGCCTAATTAAATGTGTTTATGCACGTGAATAATTTAAGCAAGGCAATAAAAAAGCACAGCAAGAAGGTAAAATAAAAAATATAACTGTAATAATAAGAAGTACAACAAGTCGCAATGTAAACTGAACCTAATTAAATTATGAATAATTACCACAAAATGTTGCTCTAAAAGGCTTTCGCAGCCATCGCACGCACATGATGCAATTTGTTTGGCCCGCATTACGTGAAAGCCAGCCTTTTTGGCCCGGCCGGTGGGGGTGGCACTCGGACAGCCAACGGAGGGTCAACTATTTGTTTTATCGCACTTTCGCTAAAATGAACACCCTAACACACACAAGGCCTGCGGCACTTTTGTTAATTTGATAAAAAGCCAAAGCAGCGCACAGATTAGCCAGAAGAGCCGAGCCAAGCCGAGCTAAGCCGAACCAAGCGGAGCTAGGTAATGGCCAAACCTCAGTACACTGGAAAAAATTAATATATATGATAATATAATATAAATTATATTCTTGACACAGTAAGATATCTAATCTAAATATCTCAATTGGAAAGCCATATGTAGCTGACATCTGCATTAAACAAATTTCTAATGCTTTATATGATTGTAAAAAAAAAAAAAAAACAAATTTTTAAAGAAAATAAAGCTCAATAAAATAAAAATTAAATAAATATTTCTGACAGTTGGGCGTATTGAGATCTATCTACCTATGAAATTTCAAACAATTTAAAAGAACTTTGACAAATTTTCATGAACTTTCTGCAATCTCTATCAGCGAAAAAACAACTTTCTATACAATATATAAATATTCATATTTTTTAGTCTATTATTTAAAGCAGTTTGTATCACGGAACTAACTCATATCGCTCAGTGAGCGCCTGGCTGGAGGGGTAGGCCTCAGCCTTTGGAGCTGCTAATTGAAATTAGAGACCCTGGAACTATAACTGGACTGCGGTTGCTGTAGTCCTTGCTGTGGTCCTTACTGTTGTTGTTGTTGTTGTTGGTGGTGGTTATAGTCCAGGGGTGGCTCGGACATTCGTCTTGCAGTTAGTCGTGGTGTAAATTAGGTTTTGGGTTTATTCATTCTTCATATTTTTTGTTTTTTGTTTTTATTTCACTCTCATTTTTTATTATTTCCATTTGCGCTGATAAAAATCATAATTTATGACATCAGCTGCCGTGGCATATTTTATTTCAAGTCGCATATAAATTTGCTTATAAACTTTGTCCCGAAAACCAGAGACAGAACCCACTGAAAATATATATTAACTTTAGTTTTGGCCGTCGGCGCCATTTTATATTTTGGGTTTTCCTTTTTTCATTTGTTTTTTTTTTTTTTTTTTTGTTTTTGTATTTTTCGTTTATCGCGCATAAATCAATTTTTGTGACAAATTTATTATAAAACTTTAGACGCAGAGGAAAGTCTGTAACGGGAAAGTCCCCAACCCAACCCAGCCCCCAAAATGGCGACTGCCTAAGGGTGTTTGTCTAGGGGTGTGTGTGTGTGTGTGGAGGTGGGGGTCTAGCGATAGTATGGGAATGAAAGCTGGTGCCAGGCGCTGGGTAGGTTAAAGAAAGAGAGTGTGAGAGAGGGGGGCGGGGGTTGTGGGAGCTGGACGGGAATCTCATAAAATATTACAATGACACCATAAACCATTTTTAGTACTTTTCCATGCCAGCTGTAAATATTTATTGTATATTATGGTCGACTATATAGCGAGTATATACATAACTATATTGGATTTTTATGAAGTAACTATGGTATCCAATTGGTAGGAACCATGGCTGCGGCTGGGGTCTGGGGTCTTAAGCGTTTTCCAGCGGGCTTATTTATGGCGCAGCAATAGAACTAAAATATTAATGGTTAATAAAATATAAAAATTTCGAGCTCATAAATATTAAAGCTCGCTTGCTATCTCTCTCTCTCTTTAACTTCTTCTCTAACACTCGCTCTCTTTATCTTTGCAGTTGTTATGCATAAGGATAAGGAGGAGAACGGTGTCCTGCCGCACATACACGCTCACGATGGCTACAGAACCCGCGAGCTGGGCGCCTTCGAGCACGGCCTGCTGGACGGTGATATGTTCCTGCAGGTGAGTCGCAGCCCCATCCCTGCCCCACCTGAACTCACCTGAGTCCGACATCACCCTCATCGCTTTGCTTAATTTGTCTTCATCAATTTGTTTGACCATTTGATGGCTTCATCGCCAGGATATGCCGCATAATCAATCAGCGCTCGTTTAGCTGGCAGAGGGAACTTTTTATACGTAATATATAGAGATATATGCATGTCTAGCACATGTATTCGATAGATAAATGATTTGTCGTGTCACGCAAAGCTTCAGTTTGTAAATTCTCTTAAATTCTGCTGAATTATTTTTGAGAATAGAAAAGCTGAAAATTGTTTAACAATTGAATGCAACTAGTTAACGTCTCTTCGCTGCTGTTGTTGTTGTTGTTGTTGTTGTTGTTGTTGATTGTGACTGCATTCAATTGATTGAATGTGTAATTGGCGCTTAGACATGTGTTACCATAATATTTATAATTAATTTTGGGGCAGTTGCATTTCAAGTTTATGTGCCACGCGCTGAATTGCTCAAACTTCAATTAAATTGTCTCACACACACACACACAGAGAGAGAAACATGTTGCAAGTTGCATGTTTTTGCTGAATTAAAGCACTTTTGTGGGCCGCCGTTGCCGCTTGTGGCCAGGCGCGAACATATGCACTTGTCACACTCATGACAGTTTAATTTAATGCACACATAGCTCAGCCGGTCAAAGCTAGGCCAAGGGTGCAGAGCCAGAGGCAGAGCCAGGGGCAGAGGCAGAGGCAGAGGCAGACAGTAGCCAAACTGCGGAGTCGGAGGCACGCAATTGTGCAACATGCGCTTTATGCAACTTTTTGTTGGGTTTTGTTGTAGCTTTTCTATTTGCTTTTTTCCCATTTCTTTCTTTGTATATGTATGTGCGTGTGTGCATGTGTGTGTGTTTTGTTTTCGGCTGCACTGCACAATTCAATGTCAAAGTGTGCAAACCGGCAAAGCCAAACCCCCTTTAGGGCCCATAAGATGCGTTTCGCATAAGAAAGAAAAAAGAATTGCAACATATATTTCAAAACTCTACTCAATATTGGAGACAGATTGAATGTGGCTTAGCAATCCATGCTGAGTAATTATAAGGGAGCTAGGAAATTCTTCTTAGAAAACAAATTTATATATTATATAATGCATAATTTAATATAAATATAAAATATAATATAAAATATTTCCTGATTTTAGCCAAGTATAAATATAAAGTCATATATAATACATCTTTTCATGCACTTTAGGATCAAGCATCATGAGAATTGCAAGAGAAAAGATGGATCTTTCCTTTGCATTATAAACTTATAAGCTAAATATGTATAGTAGCTCTATTTTCGTCACTTTGAAGGAGTATTCAGCAGTCGATGACACGAGATTCCAATGCATTGCACTGGACTTCGGGCAGTTTAATGTTTGAAGAGCGCCTTAAGCATATGCAAAACATAACAACAGAAGGAAAAGAAAAGGAAAACTGCATATTGCACTTGGCGTAGGCCGCTGACGCCTCTTGCACATGTCGCGCGCGCATGGCGCAACGCAGCTGCAGCACGTATACGCAGAGTGCACATCAGGACACGGCCAGGAGGACTCGGACTCGGACGAGTCGTGTGTCTCCTTGCAATTTGAATGCAAGCCAAAAACTTGTTGTTTTTAGTGTGCTCGACTGGCCTTCCGGCCCTTCCGCATGGGCGAAGTTCAGCTAATTGCCGAGCTGCACAATTGTGCATTTCCGTGCATATTTTTGAGTAGCGCAGAGCAGGGCGCTCGGGAAGGGAGGAGGGACGAGGTACGAGGTACGAGGGAGGTGAGCGGTTGTTGCATATTTAGTTTTAATAGCTTAGGTATTTGTTACCTGTTGCCCGTTTCAATTGCTCATGAAGTTTTTCTTTTGTTGTTGCTGTTGTTGTTTATTATGGGTCACATATTATCATTAGAAAATGGCGTTTTGTCACGCAGCGCGGCTCATGCACATGCAGCCATCTCCCTTGCTCTCGTTATTATTGTTGCTCCACATTTGCAACAGTTTTGGAGCGACTGTTGACACACATTTGCAGGCAGGCGGCTGCGAAAGCGGTTTAATTAATTAAAACTTGACGATATAAAGACATTGATTTTAAAGCAGCCAAAGCAACGGGCAACAATTGGATGAAAGAGAGACAGTAAGTGACAGAGTGAGAGTGAGAGGGCGATAGAGAGGCCGTCCACCTGGCGTATGCGCAATAGAATTGCTGCTGGCAAAAGCTAGCTGTAATTTGAGCAGCTTCCTTCGCATTTTATTAAGCAATTATCTGCCAGGGGTCCCAGCTAGCTAGCTGGCTCATCTGGCCAAGAGACTAGTTGGCCAAGGGGTCAGCTGGCAGCTCTTCGCCAAGGAAATGGTAAAATAATCGCTGCCAACTTATCAAAACACAAAACAGTAATGCAAGCCGACAATCAAATGAAAGGCTAGATACGAAATGTATATTAAGTAAGCAGATATACATTTGTACATTTATATACATTTGTATGTACACATACACACTTATATACTACACTCGTCGTCTGCCGCGTTGCTGGCTGTGCCGCACAAGACGGGCGTGTATTATTAAAATCGCATTAGAAGACGCCGCTGCCTCAAAACCATCAACTGCTGCGGACAGCGCGGACAGTTGGCTCGTATAAACTGATGCACAGACAGACGCGGATTTCAGATTTCAGATTTCAGGGGGAGCATCACCAGCAGCGGAGAAAAGCAAAGCGAGACAGCGATACAGCGCTATTAGCGAAAGAGCGAGAGCGAGACAGGGAGTGAGAGACGGCGAAAACAATTAAGCTGCATAAAAGAAATCTCGCTTCACGTAGGGTTATTCACTCGAATTCATATACTCTTTCAGATATATTGTAGCAAAATTCTGATCTGCAGTCAAACTTATATCAGCTAACTTATAAGGCTAAAGCGTCTTCCAAAATAACGAGTGTCGTTATAACCGGATTCTACTGTATAACTATACACGTGTACATATAGTTAATATCCTACTATCTTTTAAAGCTATTAACTATCTCTTCCTAGTATACTGTTGCATGGCTGTCAGAAATTTGAGCCTTAGTCTATCTAGTTGCCTAAGTCAGCTACTTGGAGGAGCAGCTAATCTCCTGTGACTCTTTTTTGCCAACCAAAAAAATTTCGCTCTATATATTATCTTTATATATTTGTCTCTCATGTACCAATCGACCCCATTGTACTTATTCAGGATTTTTGTCTGTAAAACTCTTCGTATGGGTGCGTCGTGGTAGAAATTCAATATGTAAATTTATTTCTAATAAATTCGTATTATTCTTATTCAAATTTATCTAAGAGACGTACAATAGTTTGACAGAACATTAGCAGCCAATAGAATACATAGCAGCCTGCCTTTGCTCATAGTTATAGCATCTCTCTTTCTCTCCCTGTCTTTCTCTTCCTCTCATTCACTCCCTCTCCCTCTATCGCTATCCTTGTTTGCCGCACTGTAGCTACTGTTGGCAATCTTTATGAGTATTATTGATGTGCTGCCGCCGCTGGCTTGACGACAATCGCCACAGCGCAACGATGCAGGCAACGAGGCTCGGCTTCATTTTCATATATTTATATCTACATATCCATATCCATATTCATCCCGTATCCATCTCCATATCCACATCCATATCCTTTGGCGGGCTGTGTTGATGCGTTTTAAATTATGACGCCACTTAGTGCTTATGTCGGCTAATACCAGCTCTGGCAACACACCAGCCGTCTGCTTCATATTGTTTCTGCTCTGCTCTGTAATTAGCAGCAATCGCGCGCATTTGTCTCAACCAACTGCGAGGATGGAGCAAAGCAGGAGTCGCCGTTGCTGCTGCTGCTGCTGCTGCTGCTTCTGCCTCTGCTGCTGCTGTTGTCGCTCCTTATTCTTGCCTCTGTTGCAAATTGATATTTAAATACGCTCATATTAATTACAGTTGCAGTTTCGGTCCGTCTTTCTCTTTATTAATTAACACCGCGCCGTCTCCTCGACGCTAATAAGAGCTTCAGCAAATTTGTCTTCTGAAACCAACACGTTTCACACGTTGCTTTGAGGACTCTAGTAAAATACGCAAGATGCCATATAATATACACAACCTATAACAAATCCATATTAATATAATATTATTTTATATATATATCTCTCTATTCCGATTCAAAGTCAACAGACCCCATTTTAACCAGCTTTATATAAATGGCATGAGTGGCGCCCATTAGCAGCCTATCAAAACGATGTATGAAACAATAAAGCACTTCTCAATGAAGATTGCTTTCAAAATCTTATCCGTTCGCTTACAGTTTTGCATTCATATCTTTGCCTTGTTCACACCTATTCCTAAGAGATCTGCTTCCCCGTTGCTGCTTGGCAGACAGTCTATTGATAATTACAATGCTCCATTGCTCGATATGAAACCTGCAATTAGGCAAGAACAACAATGAGGAGTCAGCGAGGAAGCAGTGCCCCTTGCCTGATAGGGGGAGGAGGGGCAGGGCATACATGGCATACATGAGAAAATGGGCTATACTTAAATAATTTGGTGAGGTAAAACAAATGCTTGTAGCGAACGTCGGCGTCAGAGTCTGCATTTAGTTGAAACTCATTGATTTAATTGCGCATCATTTCCTGGTTCAGTTTGATGTGGAACTTCTAAATCCCCTTTCACGTCTCTATAGCGGTCTTTGTCTTTGTCTCTGTCTCTGTCTGTGTCTCTATCTTTGTCTCTATCTCTGGCTGCAATGAAATGAGCCCGCTTAAGCACTAATTACGTTTTGGCCTCAAGTTAACGCCGCTCCTTTTGGCCCTCGATCTACTCTCTCGGTCTCTCGCTCTCTCTCTCTCTCTCTCTCTCTCTTTGTCCCTCTGTCTGTGGTTCATTCACAGTTTTTTGGGGTCTACATCTAGACCGCGAAATGATGGATTAATCCATTCAAAAAACCGGCAGCTACTACAATTACGAGACGATTCAGCCCCGATTCAGCCGCTGTTTGTGACTCCGATACACCTCTCCCCTAACTCTCTCTCTCTCTCTCTCTTCCTCGCTCGCTTTGCGTCTCTCTCTCTCTATCGATTTTCTGAAAGTTATCTTTAGCTTGTCAATTTGACAGTCCCGTACTCCCAATCTTTCCCTCAAGCAACATTTAATTCGTAGTTTTGATTTAATTTTTGTTTTGCTCCCTCTTTCAGCATCCATCTTCTGCTCTCTCTCTCTCTATCTCTCTCTCTCTCTCTCTCTCTCTTTCTCGTCTATTGTCAAATTGTTTGACTTTTTCTTAACATTCTGTTGTATTTTCTTGTTCTTGCAGGCTCTAAATGGATTTCTAATGATACTGACATGCGAAGGCGAGGTCTTCTTTGCCACGCACAGCATCGAGAGCTATTTGGGTTTTCATCAGGTAAGTGGACAAGAGCAAAGACGCCCTCTGGGGTGGCTGAGGCACCCAATATTTTTGATTGATTTTAATTGCCCGAGGCCAACCGGGAGTTTCTTTGAATGATATCAAGTGCTACTTCTTCTTTTCATTCTTCTTTTTTTTGGGTCAAGCTCATTGCGTAAATTGGTAACAGCACTCAGCTTAGCCGCTCACAGCGCTTAAGTCAATTCAGTTCCGACCAATAGTTGAAGGCAACTCCTCTATAATTATAAAATTAATCGAAACTTGTTAGAATGGCTGCTTGGCTAAAATATTTGCCCCCAGCTAAATTCAAATGTAGCAACAAATTTAAATACATACAGTTCTGTTCATAAAAATATCATTAGTTCTATTATATACACGACTCTTATTCATGTTATTTTTTTCTCTATAGGAAATTGAATAGACATTTACTGATCAATTATATAATATATCGGGATGTAGGAATCTAAAATACAGAAATTGGGACATTTGAAAATCCTCTTTATCGATGGAGGATCTAGTACCTTGTGGAGCAATGAATCATTTCAAATATTTGCATTTCTTTACATATCAAACAAACAAATTGTGATTACATTTAAAATATTTACATCCTGTTTCGAATTATACTACGCTCATCCCTGAAGGGAATTGTCGAAACATACTGGGAATTTCCTTGAAATAGTCTTGAAGTTAGGGAATAATTGGACTTACCTCATCAATACTACTCAATCTGTTGTCGAACAGTGCAGCTTAACGCGATCGACGACTGTCCAGTTGAGGATAGAGAAGAATAGGTTAGTCTGTTCCCCATACCCACAAATACAGATAAATACATTGAGGGTCCTTCGTCTGACTGTTGCACACATTTGCACAAAACTCGAATACGCCAACAGGGCCTTGTCGATGGTTTGAGGGTATAATTTTGAAGGTGCCACACAGCAGATGCCACCGATATCCAGGCGCGGCGGCACGACGGAAGGACGGAGCGACGGCGTGCTGCGAGTCAGGTTCTGTGGCCATAAATAAAAATCAGATCAGCGTGAGGATTGCGCAATCGCAAATACCACAAGATTTGCTTACGCAGCTGTCAAAGGCACCGGGCGAGGGGGACCCTTCGCGCAGGGCGTGGCATTGTGTGTGTTGAGCATTGGTATTATTAACTTGCGACGCCTCTGCAGCTGTGCGACCAACTGCCCCCAAACGGGCCAACATGTTTTGGGCCTAACTCGAGAATCCAGTGGCTACCACTACCTGCTGCTGCTGCTGCTGCTGCTGCTGGTGCTGTTGCTGCGGCTCCTGCTCTCGCTGCGACTCCTGCTCGCCGCGTCTGCTTCACCGCAACGCCCCTTTCTGCCCTATTTGTATTATTTGTTGTTTGCCTACTTTATTGTATTGGCGCTTGTCGAATGGAAATTGAAAATTTTCAGTTAGCTTTCATTGGGCCTAAGGAGGGGGCCTCTGCCTGCCCTGCCTCACCTCGCCCCTAGCCTTCTCCTGCGCCTTCGCATTTTAATTTAGTTGTAAATGTGTAAAGCGGCATTTGACACGCCCCGTTTGGCAGCTCAATTAAAAAACGTAGCTGCCTATTACCATGGCCATTGGCCATCGGATCGCTGCTGCTTCTTCTTGCTCGAGCGTATTCAAGTATATTCCAATTGAGATTGCGGTCAAATCATTTGCTTTGTTGGTTTTACTTGCGCTCAGATGTGCAGATGTAGAAAGTTTTGGCTCTCAGTTCCTCCAGTTCCTTACTGAAATGTGGGCTATGCGCTGTAGATGGGTGCGTGCCTATCGTGATTTTTTCTTGTAACGTGCCCAAAGTTTTAGTAGAAGCAGATGGTTTAGCTCATTAGTAACTAATTTTAGCTAACAGCTCGGCTTAATGTTAACTAACAGTTCTGTTGTGGCTTTACATTTGAGCTCTGTTGTACATTTGAAAGTTTAAAGGGCACTCAAGTCACTCCGAGAAAGATGAGCTAATTAACACGAACTGGACACGACTCAGTGCTTATCGTGTATCTTACCACGAGACCAACTTCACGGCTTAGCACGACTCGTGATCCGAGCTACGATAGCTTAACACGAGCTCAACACGACTTACCTCCTGCTCCCGCTCTGTCGTGCTTGAAGTACTCACGATATGACGACAGTCATAGATCATGTGAATATTAAAGCAAGTGATAATCACTTGGCACGACGAAGCTTGTGCTCGTGCTCTTGCTTTGTCGTGCCGATATATGCTCACGCATCGCAGCGCTGGGCGCACAGCTGTCTTCCGATCCTCTTCCCGGCGCGTGCAGAATTTATGTCTCAATTTGTGGCCAACATGGGGCGCATTTTCAATTTGCGCGCATTTTGATTTATACGCCCGAAAAAGCAAATCAAAACCAAGGCAAGGCCCAAAATTAAACGCGAAAGCGAAAATCAATAACAAAGTTGACTGAACCCCAAGATGCATAAGAAGAATAAGAAGAAGAAGAAGGAGCAGAATAAGAAAAAGACGAGATGAGCCCAGAGCCTAACCAGCCAAACTTTCCCATCCTGCTTTCAGTCGGACATTGTGCATCAGTCGGTTTACGAGCTAGTCCACTCGGAGGATCGCGAGGAGCTGCAGCGCCAGCTGCTCTGGAACAGCTTCCTGCCCGCGGACATGTCCAGCATGCAGCTGTCGGAGACTCTGGCGCCGGACAAGGCGCTCTACCTGGAGCGCAGCTTCACTGTGCGCTTCCGCTGCCTCCTGGACAACACGTCCGGCTTCCTGCGCTTGGACATACGCGGCCGCATCAAGATACTGCACGGCCAGAACCGGAAGACGGAGGAGCCGCCACTGGCGCTGTTCGCCTACTGCACGCCTTTCGGCCCGCCCAGCCTGCTGGAGATACCGCACAAGGAGAACATGTTCAAGTCCAAGCACAAGCTGGACTTTTCGCTGGTGTCCATGGACCAGCGGGGCAAGCACATACTGGGCTATGCGGACGCCGAGCTGGTGAACATGGGCGGCTACGATCTGGTCCACTACGACGACTTGGCCTACGTGGCAAGCGCCCATCAAGAGCGTAAGTAGAGTAAAGTCGCACCAAAGTCCTAACTCCTCATCCCAACCTCATCCATTTACAATCGCAGTGCTGAAGACCGGCGCATCGGGCATGATCGCCTATCGCTACCAGAAGAAGGACGGCGAGTGGCAGTGGCTGCAGACCAGCTCGCGGCTGGTCTACAAGAACTCCAAGCCGGACTTTGTGATCTGCACGCATCGCCAGCTGATGGACGAGGAGGGCCACGACCTGCTCGGCAAGCGCACCATGGACTTTAAGGTTAGCTACCTGGACACCGGCCTGGCCTCCACGTACTTTTCCGAAGCGGACCAGCTGGTGGTGCCGCCCACCAGTGCCAGTGTCTCGCCCACGGCGCACTCGCTGCCACCGCCGGTCACGCCCACACGCCCCAATCGCCGCTATAAGACGCAGCTGCGCGACTTCTTGTCCACGTGCCGCAGCAAGCGCAAGCTGCAGCAGCAGCAGCATCAGCAGCAGCAGCTGCAGGCACAGCAGTCTTCCCCGTTGGCTCAGGTCGGCTCGCCGGCTCCGGCGGTGGTGGAGTACCTGCCGGATCCTGCGGCTGCTGTGGCGGCCGCGTACTCCAATCTGAATCCCATGTACACCACGTCGCCGTATGCCACCGCGGCGGACAACCTGTACATGGGCAGCTCCATGCCGGCGAATGCCTTCTACCCGGTCAGCGAGAACCTCTTCCATCAGTATCGGCTGCAGGGCGCCGTTGGAGTGGGCGGCTACTACACGGACTATCCGCATACGGGCGCGCCAGCCTCGGCGTACGTGGCCAACGGGTTCCTCTCGTACGATGGCTATGCCATCGCCTCCAAGGCGCAGGACGAGAAGTGGCAGGAGACGGGCAAGTACTACAGTGGCTACAGCAGCGGATACGGCAGTCCCACGTCCACGCCGCAGGTAAGTCCCTCAGGAAGCAGTAACTCTCGACGGCTTGCATCGAACTCAATCTCTTTGAAACCACAGCAGATTCCGTTGAAGACGCCCAAGTCCTCGCCGCAGGTCATGGAGGTCATATCCTGCTCCTCGGACGGGCCCTCGCCCGTGGGCGTTGCCAATGCCACGCCCAATGGCAGCAGCGTTACGCCCAAAGTGGAGCTGTCCGCGACAACGGCCACCGCCGTCGGCCAGGATCCCTACGAGCGCCAGACGGTGCTCATGTGGGGCACCACGCAGTCCAGCGGCGTGCCGCTCAACAGTCGCAGTGCTGTCAATGCCGGCGGCTCGCCTCAGCGCACCACGCCCCTGACCAATGGCCTGAGCTACGCACACAACAACAACAACAACAACGAGCATGAGCCGGTTGTGGCAGCCAAGTGGAATGGCAGCAAGGCCGAGCTGACGGGCAAGCCGGCCAGCGACGGCACACCTGAGAGCTATCAGCTGCAGCACGACGACTCCGGGCTCTACTCGGCCTCCTCGCACACCACATCGCCCCAGCAGCAGCAGCAGCAGCAGCAGCAGACACATTCAACACGTGGCCTCGGCGGCTCCAATGTGAGCAACTCAAGCAATTCCGTAACACTCCCAGTCAGCGGCACCGAGCACCCAGCGCTGCAGCCCAGCCATGCTCATCCGCAGCAGCAGCAGCAGCCGCACCCACAGCCGCCCAGCTGTGCAGCTAGCCTTCAGCAACAGCAACAGCAACAGCAGCAGCAGCAGCAGCCGCACAGCCTTCACGCTCATCCACATAGTCAGCAACAGCAGCACCACCATCATCAGCATCAACCACAGCCACAACCACACACCCATCCACATCATCAGCACCACAACGAAAGCCAAGCAGCCGCTGCTGTGCATCATTTGCATCCGCAGGCAACGGCCGGCACCGCCAATGGCAGTGAGGTATGGTCGCCTGCCAGCTATACGCAGTACTCGCAGTATTTAGCTTACCACCACCATCATCATCACCACCATCCGCACCACCACCACGCAGCGGCTGCGTCCACGCCTGGCGCGGCACATCACCATCTGCACCACCACCACCACCACGGCCAGCACACGGCAAGCCGCTAGAAACTAAAAGACACTAATTCAACTAGAACAGCACCGTAGACGCACCACACAACCACCCAGCCACCCAGCCACCCACACACACACACATACACACACATAGACTCTTTGTGCACTTGTGACTGCTACTGTCAGACTAACTAAACCTAAAACGCTACTCCCCCTACTTAGATCCTAATCAGCACCCAACTGCAGCAGCATCAACAGCAGCAGCAGCAGCAGCAACAACAGCAGCAGCAACTCGTTGGATATACGCTGCACCACCATCCGCTGGAGTCGCCGCCCCACTGTCGCACGCCACCCACGCTGCCCGCTGTGAGCAGCCTGCTGAGTGGCGGTGCATCAGCGGATGCCTCAGCCTATCAGCAGCTAGCAATTGTCTCGTCTGCAGCAGCAGCAGCACCCACTGCGGCCCCGCCGCTCATCATTTGCGCGGAGGAATCGCTGCAGGCGCTCAACAGCACCAGCAGCAGCAGCAACGAGGCGCACATCAGCTCCACTTCAAGCAACTCTGCGCGCACCGCACGTAAGGCTGCCAAGCTGCAACACCAACAACACCAACAACAACAGCAACAACAACAACAACAACAGCAGCAACAACAACTTCAGCCAAATTATCAGCAGCATCACGCACAGCATCTACTCTATCCGGCCAATATAACTGCACATACGGCGCTGGCCTACGCCCCGCCACCGGCTGGCGCCTATATCGATGGCAGTCCGCTGCTCTCCTTCTCGGAGGTGACCAACACGTTGCTGAATCAGTAGACAACTGGAAATCCCCGGCACACACAGATACACACACACATACCAACACACACAATATATATATATATATATATATTTATATATAAACCATGTTCAACAGTTTTGCCAAAATGTGGACTATGACTATCGTATCTTCCATAATCTCAACACAAATACACACACACTTACACCCCCACACACATATATATACTACTATATATACGAATATTAAGAGCACAAAGAAATAGCAAACGAGAGAGCAGTTTATAGATATATGTAAATTTAAAAAGAGCCTTGCTCGAGAGTATTCAGAATGAACCTCAAAAGATGCGAGTGCTGAGAGATCTAATAATTGGTAGATCAAGGAGAATCGAGCAGAAATTAACTTAGGGAAAAGATAGGATAGTCAGAAAATAGAACCACATCAATCAATATACCATTTACTTGAAGTCTTAAAAATCTTTGATTTCTTTGCCTTTTTCAACTTGTAAAATTTGCAATTGGTTGAGCTCTCTCGTCTCGAATTAATGTCAGAAATAAATTATATATATATTTTGTTTAATAAGTATCTGTTATTCCAAATCTGATTAGAAACATAAAAATCATGATCACGTTATCAATCGTTTATTATAAATTAACTATATAGAGCAACAGCTGCAACTATTGATCCCTCATCAATATACTTTCGCATAAATAATGGATAAAAAAAAAAAAAAAAAACGAACCCAGAAACAGTCTAGACGATCCCGAATTAAATAAATATTATTAACATAGATACTTTCCAAATCGATTATCTAATCAATAAAAAATATCCTTAATGGATATTCATAATGATCTATATCCTCTCAGCTGTTAATATCTACTGAATACATTCGACATTCGACAAAGCAAGGCTCGAGCAAACAGAAAAGAAATCTCAGTGTAAAAGTATTATTTGAAATGCAAATATTCCGAATCCATTAAGAAAGGCGTCTCTTTAGTTAACCCTTCGAGCAACACAATATGTAATTCTATTTATTTTACTGTGATAATTTATATAAACCTATGTACATGTAATATTTAACACACGGCAGGCAATTTGAACCGTATCCGTAATTCCAATTACTTCCGTAACATATCGAACGATGTTATTAGGGCAACAATAGAATACAACTTAAAATTAAAACCTGCACAAAGTATGTATAATTCATCGTCAGTTGTAGTAACAACCAAAGATTTTTATTTGTTATACTAAATACAAATTAATCTAATTGTAGAAAATACACAAAAAAATACAAAAAGAGATAAAATAACAAAACTCAATTTGGGTTTTCAGATTGTTGCGCCAAATTTTAAGTTTCATGTTTTCAGGCACTATAGTAAAAGAGCATTAGAAGAAGGAAACCGATTAAAATGAATCACAATTAATTGCTTAAGTAGTCATAAGATTAACCATAATTAAATATTTACATATACATATATCTAAATTTATATTTATATAAATATATATATATATGTATGTGGATATATATTCATATATAATCAAATTACTTATTTTAATAATAATTAACTATTTAAAATTTAACTAGACCTAATGACAAGCAAACTAAATGCAAGTTAAGTAATTTTCATGATTCCTATCGTTTAGCATGTAATCCGAAAGCGTGTTGGATATTTTAAATATTTCTTGAACTTCTAGTCGCCCACATAAAACATTTACTATACATATATATAAAAATATAAAATTGTATATTTACATATATATTAAAAGCATATAAATATAAATATAAATATAAATATATACCACTATTCAAAATACTTTAATTGTACATTTCAATTTGATGACCGTGAGTTAAGGCAATAATAATATTTGGTAATCAAAATTGTATCCCAAAATCTTTATTAACTGAAACATACGAAATAAGTTTAACTCAAACGTTTTTTAGTAAAAATACAACCATTTTATTTAACAAGACATTAGAAACCCAATTTCATGTACTCGTAAAATGCATATTCAATCAATCAGAGCGAAATAAATCTAGAAAATATTCAATCGAAAACATAAATGAATGCTATTTTAATCTCTCAATGTGATAAAGTTCTTATCATGAATATGCTAAAATATTGCATAACTAAGTTTTCTTTCATCAATTCAACTACACATAGGCAATTTTGTATATTTAAATTTGGCGCCAAGACTTCAGACCACATTTAACAAAACATAGATTTGTTGCTGCTTTGCCCAACACTGTAAGCAGTATATTTCGTTCTGAATTTAGTATTTTTTCAATTTTGTATCGATGTATCGTCCAACAATCCGCTCAAGCACTGAAAAATACCAAGCCAAACTGAGTATTTTATCGGTAGTAGTTATCGATTTATCACCAAAGTTGGCGGCCGTTTTAAAATTCAACTCATTTACGAAGTTGGCAGTTCTTTTCGAGTGCGCACAGTCATTTGATTTATTTAATATTTTTATTTTTTAAAGCACATCATAACAGGCATAAGAAGCTTCAGCCGCTGATTTATATGCCTCGAAATTAAGTTTTGCGGGAAATCCAGCCCAGGTGCAGGTTTTTTTCCAACTTTCATGGACAATACAACCGCAAAGCCACATGCAATAGCCTGCTTTGTGATGAAGCTTAATTGGTGACTTTGCTGCTGCATCAATTGACAACACAAAATGCATTGATTGACACCTAGCGAAGAATTTACTATAAAATTTATTATATGGCGTAAACGAGTAATCGCCAACGCAACAAAATGTTGGAGCTGCCTAAAGACTTGTTAATAAAGGTCTCTTCAGCTGCGCTGGGCTTCACAATGGCAGCGCACCTAGACTGTAATCATATGTGGGTTAAGATATTGTAGATATTGTTTAGTATTAAATGTTTGCTATAGTCATTACTCGAAGTACATAATGCGTGTCTTCATGTACACAAATATGCGTACGTCCACGTCTCGTATTCAGATGAATGTATGTACCGCAGCTGGAAAGCAGCGCAATTAATCATATACTCTAATTTTATATACAATACATCATTGAAGCCAAAATATTTGTTGGCCATTGAACAGATATTTTCTAGATTGATGGCTTCATTGTTCAAGTGGCGGTTGCCGAAGTCGAGTGGGGCCACTTACTTGGGCTAGATACAAAAAATATGATGCCTTCTGGGCTCATCTAACAAGCGTAGCAAGTGCTCCTGGCCTCATTGCCAAGTGCTCAAGGTCAAGTTGAGCAGCGATATAAAGAGAAATCCCCAACAATACAATTGCCATAGTCAGAGTTTTGTCATTTCAGAACTGGAATGCGACTCCCATACGATTGCACTCACGAAATTAATTAGCATGAACAGTTCGTCTGTAATCTTTTCATATAGAAATACACTTCTCATACATCACGCAGACCTACTTGGTATGCACAGGTGATGTGATGACTTTCGTATACCCTGAAGCCATTGTACGTATGCCCAAGAGGAGATGATAAGTTAGTTAATGGGTATGTAACAAACAGAAGAAGCATTAGCGCTTTGAATCTTGGATTCATTGTATTCCATCAAAGTTCTATGTAGCAATTTAAAATGTTTGATAAACATTTAAAATCAAATCAAATCGAAATGAAATGAAATGTTTTTCATTGCCAGCCTCGTAATAAAATAATTTATTGTTGGTTAGGGCTCATTGCCAATTCATCCTATCTGCTGATTCATCCGCCCATACGTTTGTCTATTAATAAATATACTCGATATAGGAGAACTTTAAGAGTTATCGCACCGAAGTTCGTTCCGTTTCGAAGAAATTTAGTATGATAAAACAATTGCAATTATTATATAATATATGCTATAAAATGTATAATATAATATATTATTATTATTTTTCGCATTTAATATATAAGCATATTCGGCAACTATCATATATAAGGATTCAGTTGACATTTTTTATAAAACCGTTAAATAATACAGATAGTTTTAAGTTAGTTTATGGTTATGTTCGTATCCATCCATATATATATACCCATACATACATTAAATTATATATTTATAATAAATAAATATTGAATATTATATAATATGGCTACATCAAACTATTGAGGTTTGTATTGTCATAATGCACAATCATTAATATGTACGTATGTATCTCATCTTTTCCATTATTTTTCTTTTTTATATCCTGAACCCAATGAAAATTTTAAATAATATATTTATATATATTTTTTTTATGTAAAAATTAAGTAAATAAAGTTACTTTCACATAGACCTTAACAATGAATAATGAAATTAGTTACTCGATATAGCTTTTAATTGGACAACGCTGAACGAGGATTAAGTTATGTTAAAAAATAAATCTGTTAAAGTGACAGCGGCTCATAATGTATCATAAACAACGGACATGTTTGTATTGATTTATGAGGGTTAGGCTGAAATTAATCCCATGGGAGTTAGGATATCTTCTAGCCGACTATAGAACTGTTTTGAATTTAATGTACTCTTAGAGGAAGTCTTTTATTATGCAGTAGGGCAAGCCTGACAACAAAAGCCATAATACTAATAATACTTTGCTCGAGTGTAGGCAAATATTGCATATTTTGGGTTTGTTGTGTGGCGGCGAGTTCGTGTCTTAAGTCTTTCGTTTGGACCATTTTCTAACGTACAACAATTAACAAAGTGAGGCGATTGTTTTATTTATTTGTTTATTCATTTGTTTTATTCAGCATTGCTCGCTTTCCATCGCCTGACCTTTAACAGTCGTGTTGTACACATTTAGTGCCATCGGCCATACCGTCTAAGTGGGTCTATAGAGCGGCGGCGAGAGCTGGATATATGCTGAACTATGCTGTGCGGTGCGGTTCGGCGCGGTGCGATGCTGTGCAGTGCGCACAAGTTGAACTTCAGTAAGTGCAATAAATGAATCCAAAGGTGATAATCTTGGCTTATTCAGTGCTCTTCAGATTGCCAGACGCGTCACTTCGGATCGTCACTTAAGGTCAATGTGGGCATGGGGCATGCTGGCCGCGATCATTACTCAGCGGCTTGGCTGCTGCTGTTAGATGACCTTGAGCCATTGTTGCTTGTTTGACAAATTTGTAGCACCCCAGTTAGAAAAATTGCCACTTAATGTCGGTCGCGATGTGACCGGATGCTCGCCTAAGTCGCTCGCGTCGCATCGAACTTGGACTTGAACAGACTTGCGACTTGCAGCTGGCAAAGTCAAAGGCAAAAGCAAAGGCGAAGGTATTTATGTAAATGTAGTCCGTAGTTGGTGACTTTTGACTTCCCTGTTCGCTAGATCTATTTATCAACAGCAATTTCTACACTCTGAAAAATCGCAGTGCCTGATTACATCATTACATTATGCAAGATAATAATTAATTATTATTTAATTATTTCGTTGGGGAATTCTACTATTCTGACTGTTTTGTGAGTTCATAGCATCTAATAAAATACTAGCAGCATCACTTTATCTCTCTCTCTCTCTCTCTCTCTCTCTCTCTCTCTC